TCCGTAATTGCTAGGGGAGGCATAAGTGGGGATCACTGATCCATAGATATAAAAATTACATTATTTGGAACCATGAGGTTGTACTCTCTACTAGCCTATTAAGAGAGCAGTCTAACAATATTTACCCTCATCCTCCTTTCCTAACAAATGTTTTATTCTCTTGTTACATCTTATTTTAAATTAGGCTGCAAGCTTTCAAGACAGGGACCTTGTTTTACTATGTGTTTATTATAGCTCCTACCACCATGAGATCCTGATCCCGATTGCGGCCTTTTGGTGCTACCTCAAGCACAAACAAGAAAACACTTTCGCTAAAGCTCTTGTTGACATCTATGGTAAAATTTATAAGTATTTTCTTAAAGAAACACTCAATTTAAGATGTAGTTTTAAGGAGTTAATTAAAAGTAGTTTCAAAGACCACTTTTTCTTTCTTAGAAATTTGCATTTGTAATCCTGTTCTTCTCTTAGCCTGTATATTGATTTATTATTAGTTTTATTGATTGTATAGACATTCTTTATAAGCATTTATTTAAAAAAATCCTTCCTCTTATTCCCAGATCTTTGACACTATTTCTGAATTAAGCAATGACGATGAAAAGCCCACATTCTGCAAATCTGAGTTTATACTGCATTATTTCACAGCACCCAAAATTGTGCCAAGCACTTCACAGATGAGAGACAATCTCTCTGCCCCTTAAAACTTATGTAAGACAATAACTTGGATAGCTACTTAGCATATCTATCCTTGTAATGTTTTTGCCCACTGGCAAAATTACTTTTTCCTAATTTTTTACATTATTACTTTTCCCTTATTATGGGAGGGAGTGCAGACAGCGCATTGGACTGGGATACAAGATATCTGGGTTCTATTCTCAGCAGTGCCAGTGTCCAGGTCAGCCACCTTAGACAAGTCACTTCACCACTCTGTGCTTCAGTTTCCCCATCAGTAAAATGTGGATACTTCTTTGTAAAGTGAGATCTACTGATGAAAAGTGCTATGAGAGTAGCTAAGATCAAAGTGTTAGTAGTCTCTTGGCCTATCAAAGGCCATGATCAAGTGTCTTGATGTTTTTGGTCTTTTGGCCTCGAGATGAAAACCTTGTCTGTGTTTCTTAGACCATGAAGTAAAAATATTATCTAAGTTATATCTGTTCTTATCTCCTAGACTAGCGTTTCCCAAATGCGGCCACCAGGGGCTTTTTGTGCGGCCACAGGCCTCCCGGGCGGTGATTGGAGGGAGGGAGGGGGGCAAACCCTCTCTCCCTCCCTGTTGCTTCTGAGTGTGCCACCCTGCACTGCCTCTGGAGACAGGAGGGGCACAATGCTGAAGGAGCAAGGTGAGTTCTTGACCTGCAGGGTGGGGGGAGTGGGACTCAGTCTTCAGTCCTGGGGTGGTTGGGCAGCAGGCTCAGGTGGTGGGACTTAGGGAGCCTGGCTGCATGGACCAGGGCTCCAACCATGGTGCTTTGGCACCAACACTTGGCTCCAGCTGCGGTGTTTCAAGCAGACACCCCCAGCTCTGGCCACACGGCCCCGGCCACACAGCTTCAGGCTCCAACCACCGGTCGTGCGCGGTGGACTCTGATCCCTGGCTCTGGCTGTGTGGCACCACCCCTGGTGGCAGCTGCTGACGCCCAGCCGCTCGCTCCAACCCCTAGCCACTGATCCCAGGTGCTAGCCCTGGATGCTGACCTCCAGCCCCGGCTGCCGGTGGCAGGCGCTGATCCCCAGCCCTGACCGCTGACCACGGCCACCAATCCCTGGCTCTGGCCGTTTGGCAGGCGCCAGACCCAGGTGTAGATCCTTGATGCCCACTGCACGGCAGTGGGTGCAGATCCCTGGCGGTGGGCGCCGAACCCGAGCTGCGTGGTGGCGGGCTCCAACCCCCGGCTCTGGACACTGACCGCAGGCACTCGCCATGTGGCAGCAGCTGGCCCCAGGCACTGATCCCCAGCCCTGGCCTTTGGCCACAGCCGCCGACTCCTGACTCCGTCCGTTTGGCAGCGGGTGTGGAAGCTAGGCTCTAGCGGGCGCCAGAGCCACGTGCAGATCCCTGTTCCCAGCCACGTGGCAGTGGGTGTAGATCCCTGGCGGTGGGCTCCGAACCTCAACGCTGGACGTGGACGGGCCCCAAACCCTGGCGCTGGATGCCAACCCTGGGCACTGGCCATATGGCAGGGGCTGCTGGCCCCAGGCACTGATCCCCAGCCCTGGCCATGCAGCAGCAGATGCCGACCCCAGTGGGTGTTGGCCCCAGGCACTGACCCCTGGCCCTGGTTGTGCAGTGACAGATGCTGGCCCTAGGCTCTAGCTGCGCGGCAGTGGGCTCTCGCCCTGGGTGCCTCCCCCCAGCTCCAGTCGCACCCCCATCACCCCTGTCCTCCGCTGCCTCCCTCAGCCCAGCATCCATCCCCCAGGTCCCTGCTACCTTCCACCCCGATCCTCCCATCCAGGGCTTAATTTGTCCTGGGACTTGCTGAGAAACATGCATGCATCACTTTTAACAGCAGATTAACTAGCTACCTGGGAGACTGTAAAATGTGATACTTGTATGTTTGTTAATATCACGTATCACTTTTCACAGCCTTCCAGGTAGCTATTAAGTGTCCTGTGAAAAGTGATATTAACAAACATACAAATATAACTTTTTACAGCATTATTTTTATTATTGAGTCTGCAAAAAAAAAATAAACCTACATAAATAAATTACAACAATTTGGATGTGTATGTGCATATTTATTTATTTTTTCTAACGTTAATAAAGTATTTTAGGAAAAAGTGTCAGTGCAGCCATCAGCAAGGGTTGGTGTCCACACTTTGAGGCCACCAGAAAAATTGTGGTGAGAACCCCAGTCCTAGACCATTCAACTGTTTCCTGCACAGCTGTGAAGTTTAACTTCTCTCTACATTTTGCAGGGCTTCTCATTTGGAGTAGGGCTCTATAGTCAGATGCTTGCCATCCCAAATCATTTTGGGGACAGAACTAACAAATACATTTCAACGTCATTAAAATTCTGTTTTAACATATCTGACGTTCATTAGTCTTGTAGTCAAGTTGCTAAAAGTGAATCCCCTTGTTAAATTTGAAAAGCAGTAATCCCAGAACATGGAGTAATCATTTCCAGTGTGGATATTAATTACTTTGAGTTGCTAGATTCCTAGACTGCTAGGTTTCTGTGACATGAGACATTTGCAATGTTTTCTAAAGGGTCACTAGCCATTGGGTGGTCATGGATCTACATCCTCAGATGAACACACAAGAGAAACGGAGGTCTCAGATGTGGTTCTGAGACGAGGATTTTCCTCGAGTCAAGAACAAGTCGATCTAGCCTCAAGTCCCCCTACCTAGATGAACTCCCACACAGCACAATCTCAGCCACCACAGTAAGCCTCAGTAAGCAAACAGCTTAATAATGTACAACTTCCACCCTAGACACAATCTGGGAAGCCACCGCGAGCATCAACATTAAGGGGCACATGCCATCATTAAGGGGGGAGAGGGAGCCAGACATTGGTATGTGGCGTTAGACAGGACTAACACCCAGCTGCTGAAGCCCCAGTGAACACGGCCTGCCACACACCGCAGCCCTGACCCTAGGGCGCGCTAGTCCACAGCCCGACCGCCCGGGGGCGGGGAGAAGGAAATAATCGCGGCTCTCCACCATGCAAGGCGCCGCCAACCCCCCAATCCGTAGGGGACTAGGAAGGACCAGACCCTTTGGCTAAGTTTGCCTGGCCACCCTTTATCCCGCGTAAAAGACGAGAGCAGCCTCGCCTGCGCCGACTAACTCACACCTACCACTACTGCCGCTGCAGCACCGCCACCACACTTCCCCAGAGCGACGCGGGTTTCGCGCGGGCTCGGGCTCGCTCAGCCCCGGAAGTGACCTCTAGCGGGGGCGGGAACCGCCATGGTCCCAAACACCCCCCCCCTCCGCAGGGGAAAAAAATCCCCCGCCAATAAGTGGCCGAGGGTGCACGAGCGGCACTTCCGGGGGCATAGGAGGGGAGTAGTTGAGATGCGGGAGGGTTGTTCCTACCCCGAGTGTCACCCCGCGCCGGACCAACCGACTCACTCATCCCTTCCCGCTGGTGGGGGAGGGCGGGTTTGTGATCCCGTGTCCTGACTCGCCTCCTCCACTTTGTCCCGGGGGTGCGCGGGAATATGACGGGGAGGGGCAACGCCGCGACAGTGAGCTTCAGGGAAGGGAGGCGGGGCGACAGCACCAATGGGAAGGCTGTGGGAGCTACGGAGCGGGGCGGGGTGAAGCTATGGGAGCTACACGGGGTGTGTGGGAGCTATGCGGGGGGCGCTACACGGGGAGTGGGAGTAATGTAGGGGGCGTTACACGGGGTGTGTGGGAGCTATGGGGGGCGCTACACGGGGGTGGGAGCTATGCAGGGGGTGTGGGGGAGCTATGTTGAGGTGTGGGGCTGTCTGAATGGGAAGGCTCTATAGGGGGTGTTGGCGAATAGGACGAGGTGCGGGAAGGACTCCAGCGATTCTGGGGAGAGAGAGGCATTGCACTTACTAGGGGAACGGGGAGCTGTGTTGACGGGGTGTATGGTGCTGACTGACAGTGCGACGAGCCCAGAGAGCCATGGGTGGGGCTGCAGAGTGCTGTGGACTGTATGGCAGTCGGCGGCAGAACTCCTTTACTCCTATAAATAAGCGAGATGGCGGGTGAGGGTAGGAAGAATTACGGAGGCCGGTGCTCTCCGACTGGCCCGATGCTAAACAGGCTCCTGGGGGCAAGCAATGAGCATGCTAATACAAGAGACTACAATTCCCAGGATGCCTTGCGCTGGCGAACACGGGCTGCGCTGTACTTTAGGGAAACGGTCGGGACCTGTTTTTTTCGGAGGCTTGGGCGGATGGGGAGACGCTCGCTGCTGATGATAGGGGAGGGGGCTCCCAGCGAGCTGGTCCTTCTGGTTGGGCACAGCACCAGAGCTCGCGAGGAAGGGGGTTATAATATCACTACGGGAACAAGTACCGACATGATTGTCATTAGACATGAAAACCGTCTGTCAGCGCAACGCCGCGATTCCACTGGTCGTTGGTGGACCATGGAGGCGGGTCTCTGTGTGCCGGTCCACCGACTTCCTATTGGTAATTAGGGCCGTCATTCAGTAAAACTATCCGTTACGATTGGCCAGAGACCCCCTCAGTGGGCGAGTTCATGCGCAAGTGGTATGTGCACCACAGCGGCAGCTCTGGGGGCGGAGGCTGGACTGTAAATGGCCAAGGCTGACGTCGGTCAGCGGGATTGTGCGTTGCCGTTCGCAGGCACTGGCAGGGGGCGGGTCTCTGTCCCTGCCGCGGCAGTAGGAGGAACCGGAGCCGCTGTCGGGGGCTGGTGATGGGGTCAGTTCTCCCTCGTGTGTGAATCTCCGTCACCGAGCCGGCCCCGTCGCCGCCCTTATCCGCCCGGCTGTGTTAGCGCCAAAGCGGTAAGGAGCGCACCTTCCTTTATAGCCATCGCCCGCCGCCTTGCGAAGGGGACGGGAGCTTGTTCCAGGGCCCCCGCACCGCGTGAGGGGTTGCCCGGCCCCAAGGGCTGCTGGAGTACTGCACTCGTGTGGGGGAGTGGTTGGTCCCTGGGCGCAGCTGCACCCTGGAGGGGGGCCCGGCACTGCGGGCAGCTGCTCGGGGGGCACTGGTGAGAGGGTCCTGGGGGCAGCTGCTGCGGGAGAACACATTGGTGTGAGGGTCCTGGGGGCAACTGCTCCGGGAGGTGGTCTGCGGTGGGGTGGGGGCCCTGGGGGCAACTGCACTGGGGGGAGCGGTCCTGCACTGGAGGGGTGGGGTCAGCTGCGCCTGGGGTGGGGGGTCCTGGAGGCAGATGCCCCGGGGTGGTTGGGAGTGGTGGCTGCATCTCGGGGGAGGCCCCTGCATTGGGGTTTGGGTGATAGCACCCTGGGGACAGGTCGTATGCTGAGATGCCATTAGAAGCTGGCTGTACCTAAGGACTCGTAAGGAGCTTTCAATGTAGCTGCACTCTGGGATCCTGCACTGGGCTTGTTGCACCCCAAGGATCTTTTTTAGGGGCTGCATCTGCACCCCGTGGCTTTATAATTAAATTGAGTCAGAAGCATTTGAGGAGGGGTGGTATCAGGAGAGGACCAGTGGAGAAACTGGTGTGACTACAGCATGTTGCCCCTTTAAAGAGGTAGTGAATGTTTCAAATTTCCCCAGTTATAAAGGATGGGGTATGGAGCTGCTTACAAACTGGCTCCTTGATGCTAGATTAGCAAAAGTTGAGGTGGCATTTAATGATGCTGGCAAGAGAAGGAGTGTTTCTGAAGTTCTGAATGTATCTGCATCTGGGTATAATAGGATAATTCAGTTTAAATGCTTTTTGCTTGTTTTAAAATAAGGTAGTCCCATGTTTTATCCGATTCCTCCTAACTTTGACTCCTCTGGTTTCATGTCTGAACCAACTGTGAATGGGTTCATGTCATATGTTTTTGCTACAAAAATAGGGTTGTGTTATATTAGTGTAGCATTCGTATTTTTAAAAAAACACTTTAAAGAGAGGCGAGTTGCTTGGGCCAATCATTTCTCTGTCTTTAAGGCAGGGAACTTAAATGTTGTGAGGTTTAATTAATTAATGGCTCTTAAATTGCTTTGAGTTTTTCAAATGAAAGGTGCTATAAAAGTGCAATGTATTGCTGGTGTAGACACAGTACTACTAATTACTTAATTGCTCAAACTTAACATATTTAAAAACCTTGCCAAGAAACTACTGTGCAAATTTGCTGTACCGATTTGGGCTAACCTGGGTTCCATTTCTTTTCTTTTTTTTAATCTCTCTTCACTCTGGATGGAGGAAATATTATAACTGTTGGCTCTGACATTGGAAAATGGTTGTACATAATGTATTCTGGACAATTGTCTTGAATGTAGTTGTAACTAGCACAGTGTAATCCAAAGTGTAGATAGAATAGCTACATCACTGTCTGCTTTTGGCGGCCTCTTAGAATGACACTTTTATTTTTAAAATGGCTCTAAGTTTAAATGGTTGGCACTGCGGAAGAGTTTCCCTTTTTTAAACCAAAAGTAAAATGGAAAAATGAACAGAATGTAATCTTCTTAAGATACCTTGTTATATTGAAGACTTGATTTTGTTGTTGTTGTAAGCAGGTTTTATAAGCTGGATTCCCATGATAAACACATTCTGTGCAATTCCTTTAGCTATAGTTGTAATTATGGATGGTGTGATAGGCAAATTGCAGCTGTGTGTTTTCTACTTTGTATATTTTGTGATATATATAAAGTGGGTGGGGTGGAGGCAAAAGGTCTGTTCCTAGATATACAGAATCATAGACTCGTAGAATTGGAAGAGACCTCAATAGAGGACCTCATCTAGTCCAGTCCCTTGCACTGAGGCAGGACTAAGCATTATCTCTAGACCATCCCTGAAAGGTGTTTGTCTAACCTCCTTAAAAATCTCCAGTGACAGAGATTTCACAACCACCTTAGGTAACTTGTTCCGCTTAACTACCCTGACAGTTAAGAAGTTTTTCTTAATGTCTAACTTAAATCTCGCTTACTGCAGTTTAAGCCCACTACTACTTGTCCTGTCCTCAATGATTAAAGTAAACAATTTATTGCCCTCCGCTTTACAACAATCTTCTATGTACTTGAAGACTGTTATTGTGTCTCCTCTTGGTCCTCTTTCCCCCACCCCCACCCCCAAGTTGTTTAGTTTTGGAAAAGAGACAAACCCAGTTTTTTCAATCTTTCCTTTTAGGTCATGTTTTCTAGACATTTAATCATTTTTGTTGCTCTCCTCTGGCCTTTCTCCAGTTTGTCCACATCTTTCCCAAAGTGTGGTGCCCAGAAGTGGACATAATACTCCAGTTGAGGTCTTATCAATGCTGAGTAGAGTGGAAAAAATACTTATTGTGTTTTTGCTTACAATGCTCCTGCTAATACATCCAAGAATGATGTTCAGGCTTAGAAAGTGAACATGTTTAGAAAACAAAGTTTGCAAAAGCTTTATGCCTCTACATGGTAATAGATCATCATGGAACATTGAACTTAGAAAGGATCTTGTATTTTAAATTCACATACAGTTATTTTTAACCTGTTTCTTAACAAAAGTGTCCAAAACTAAGGCCTTAGCATCAGTTCACAATGAATAATCAATTTGTAATTCTTTTCATATAGAATAAAGTTTAAAGACAAAGTAGCTGAAAATAAAGTACTTTTTCTCTTTAGGCCACAGGTAGCTGCAAGGTTCTTGACTAAATGCTAAAACAAATACTGGGTGCCAGCACTTTTATGATCCAGTGTTGTTGTTAGACTGCAGAAATAGGATTTTGCACTTCCTGTTGTAATGAAAGGGGAGGGGATTGGAAATAATTTATTTTTCCAGGGCCTTTATTTAAACGTTCTGCCATTCTAGGAGATGAATAATTCTGGTATTGGCACGCTTCATGTGACATAGTCCATCACTTTTATTTGTCACATGTGACATTCTTTGGAAACACTGGCAATAAGAATTGAAAATAGGAATTCTCTCTTATGATAGGTACTGTAATTGTGAATGTATTAGGGAATGATGGTTATATAATATTGTGCTATAAATTGCAGTCATGTTAAAGTTTCTATGCTAATCTGTCATTGTAGTAGGTCTTGAGTGGTGGACTTTTCTGCTGCTCAATTAACTTCTAGTAGAATGTTCACACTTCATTATTTTAATCACTCTATCTTTTTCTGTAAAAACATAATAGCAAATTCCTGTCAAGTCTGACTATAATGTGTCCAGTTATGAGGAATGATGGTGGATATACCTAAATGCCAGTTGTTGGTGAAAGGAGTATGATGTATTGGAATGGGATTCCTTAGCAGTTTTCTAGAAATTTATTCATTAAATTCAGAACCCTCTAGAAAGCATAGGCTACTTAATTCTGTCCAAATTCAGGCCTAGGTGTACCTTTATCTCTTCGTCCCCCTCCCCCCACCTTCCCTTAGGCTCTTTCCTCCTTCCCTTTTTGCTGGCTCCCAAGTTGCTTCTCCTCTCATCCTGCCTATGGCTTTCCCCCCTCCACTAAATTTTTTATTGTCTAATTCTTTTACACTTCTTACCCGTTATTTTCTTATCTTTAGCCTTGTTTACCCACTCCCACTCACCCTTCAGTCTTAATGTGGCTGGCTTTCCCAGCCTCATTAGTCTTAAACACTGCTTGCTTTTAAGCCTCTCTTCTCTGTATGTTTCAGATCCACTTGGGCATTTTAGGATTTTAAAAAAAAATGCTTAATTGTACCACAATCAGCTTTGTTAAGCAAGTCTTTGTCTTGCATTTCGCTCTGTATTAAGGTAAAAGGAGCCAGTGCTCCGGTGATCTTATAACCAGGGGAATGGGGCAAATTTCCATATTTTTGTTCCTTTCATCTCTTTAACCGAATTTACTCCCCCCTCTCCTATACCCTCCCACTCAAATGCTCACACAGTTATCCCTGTCAAACAACTTGTGATGCAACATGCTTTAAATAATATGAGATATTTCAGTTTTTAATGTAGTTGATGACACAGCACCTCTTGACTCCAGAGTAGTTTGTACAATTACATTTATTGATCTTTTTACTTGGGATTGTATGTGGATAGTATATAAATGAGTTTTGATACCTTAGAGTACTGTTGTAGAATGGTATGTGAAATAACTTTTGATGGAGAAATAAGACTTAGGTCAGTTTGCAGTATGGCATAGATTTAATTCTTTTAAAAGTAGTAAAGTATATTGAAAATGTTCCGTAAAATTGAGAGAACTAGATTGTGCTCTGTGCAATTACGCTATCACTCCTAGAAATAAGGATCATTTATGGTATCTAGGATTTGATGTAAGTACTTTATTGGCTAATAGGTCTGGAGGCTTCTGATAAGATTTATTAAATCCTGACTTCCCTAATGTATTTTAAAGCTGATGTATTTATGTAATTCATGGATTTCCAATATAATTAACTGATAGGGAGTACAAACAAACTTGTAATTTGTGGACATGACTTCTTGGAAGCTTTTGTAAGGGCTGTCTTATCAAATTACCTTCCCTGTAGGAAACTTGGTTTCATGTCCTAGTCTTGTAATCCTGATTGGGACTGGGAGTATTGCTGAAGCATGTAGCTTAGAGTGGGTCACTTAAACAAGGTTTGTATTGTCATTTTCCCAGTTATATCCCTGTGGGTGGGTGGGGAGGACACTTAATGTAATTTAGCAAAAGTACTTGAGTGCAATATATATTTCCAGAATCGAGCCTTTTAATTAAAATGGAAAGTTGAGTGGTTCAGCCATGTGAGAGGTAAAATACATGGCCATCCCCACAATTCATTCTTACTTTTTTGTGTGTGTATGTGTGTGGGCGGGGGAGTTGTTTGAAGGAAGAAGCAGGGCAATAAAGGACAATGGAGAAGAAAAAAGCTTATTGAAAATTATGGAAACTAAGTTCAA